AGTTCCGTAAATGATCGATTGTCACTCGGACTTTTTTCTCAAGATCTTCCGCGTTTAGATAACTGACAGCGTTGAGGAGCATGAACAGAATGCCTGCGAATCCGTGGGCAGCACCCAGATATGCTTCACTGTACCATTCGTAGTACAATGGCGCAGGGAATCGAATCCTTGCGCTCCAGTTTTCCCCGGACTTGATGATCGCTCCACAAGTTTCCCTTATCAAGGCATCACTCACAGTGATTTCCCCGGGACATTCTTTCTTAAGAAAGAGCAACGAGTAGAGAAATCCCGCACGCCCGTAAAGAAGCTCATCGGGGACTTTGGAATCCGGGCTGAGAACGATTCCGGAAAATGATTCCAACTGCTTGTACAGTTTGTCGGCCATTTCCAGATTCCCGCTTTTGCAATACGCAGCTGCACCAACTGCCAGAACCCCGGCATCCCCGCAAAGAAAGGACGGATCTTTAAACTTCAAATGCGGCAAGCAGACATTCACAGCTGCTACGGCTTTGTCCAGTGCGGTTGGATCCTTTCAGAGAAATCAAATCGGTTCAACACGTAATGAAAATACAACACATTATATCCCTCACACATCCATACATTAGAACTCCTAGAAACGGTAAATCTAAAACAAAGCACTGCAGTTCAATTGCGATATCTCATACATCGTCAAGTCTTTCGATTTTTCGGAAGAAATTCATTTCACAAGTGGGAAGATCATGCCGAATGGAAAAAAATCTCAGAGAGAAGTAAAACGATACCACATGCCTTCTATTACACTTCAACTCGCGTCTTCTGCACCTAATTCACACCATGGGTAAACTTGTTTTCTGTGAATTTGCGAATTAAAAACTTCCTGGTTCACAGTTGGCATGCGAACCTAAGACGCAATGACTTCCACGGGGTAAGTTCTTCTTTTTAATTTATAATGCGGAAAATGGTTAACCGTGGGACTGCTTCACCAACCTTGTTTTTCATGAACAAAAAATAGTGAAGCAAAGCGGCTCCACCAATGCCAGTGTAAACGCATTCACCTTCCAGCCCATGTCCGCTCGCAGATTTCTGCTGCCATTCGGCCATAAATTGAGATCCGAGCTGGTGAATTTCGTTCAGCACTTGAGGAGTCAGGGTTCCATCTCTCAGAACATTATCTTCGTTTCGCGTGGAATATTCTCGCAATCGATTTTCGAAAAACCGGCTTTCGCTCGCTCGTCTCGCCATAATTTAGACATATGGTCCCCACGTCTGCATTGACGCATCAACAATCAATTTCATTGCCGAGAAAACATATAAAAAGATTTGTTCACACTTATGAGCGGCGAATCAAGCACATCAGTGGAATTCCAGTAGGTATCATTATCGCTGCAAATAAAAGAAGTCACTTCCGGAAGTAGAATAAAATTCAAACCATCCAAATGAATGCGCTAGGAAATACGATACACGTCCCCATCAGATAAGCGAAAGTTCGCAAGCATTCAGTATAGTAATTGCAACAGATGGTCATAAAAAACAATATAAACAGAAGAGCACAACCTCATCGGCGAACGGACAATCGATAGCGCTCAAGCTCTCCGGCATGTTTCAAATGAAATGAGCTGATGAACAAAAGTAGCGTCTAGCTTCCACTGAAAACTGAGAATTTCGGCGCATAATCGTTACCATAGAAATGTATGCTTCTACAGATCCGGATTCTTTTTCGGATTGACGATTTATTCATTTGAAAAGGGAAAAACCTATTTTTCCGGCCAATTCAAGACGGATCCTATACCGTACGGTATACAACCTCCTCTCTCATCACTGGAACGACATCTAGGCGTTTTAGCTGTCTTAATTGCTTGCTTTATTGATAAATTTGAAGAGTATGAAGATTATTTTTTCAAAGCTATCCAGCC